GATGGCGGCGGAGCTTCGCTTCGACGCTGAAGGTCAGCCCCTAGAGTTCGAGGCGTGGCTTGCCGACCTCCGCCGCCAACTCACTGGCCAGCGGCAGGATCGTGAACCGCTTTCCGCACACCTTGACGGTACGCTCCCCTGCCCAGACCCTCCTGCTATTCTGCCCGCTGACCCCACACCCACTGAGCGCGAGTCCACTGCTGCCACTGCCCGTGCGCGCTCTGTCTGGCTTTCTCGCGATGCTGTCGCCCAGCTTGCCATTAGCAACGCCCTCCCCCCGTCCGAGCGTCCTCGCTTTAGGTCCCTCACTACTGCTCAGGCATACTTAGATGCTGTCATCAAGCGCTATTCCACCCCTCCGGCTGCCTCGGTGGGTCGCCTGATCCTCCCGCTGCTCTTTCCTGACCTTGCTTCGTTCCCCACTGTCTCTGACCTCGCTGCCCACCTGCGCTCGATAGAGGAGACCTGGCGCGCCGCCTGCACTGACGCACAGCTTAGAGCCCACCAGCCGCCCATTACCTCTACCCTCTACTTGCTTGCCACCCGCCTCCCTGACCTCCTTGCTGTCGCCCGCGACCGCTTCCTTAGTGTTCACCCCGCAGACCTCACCCTCACTGACTTTGTCGACACCCTGACTGTGATAGAGACCCGTCACCGCTCCATCGCCCAGGCGAGCGGTGTCGTGCCGGTCCCTATCTTTCAGGGTTGTGCCCCCGCTCAGTGTACCTTCTCCGACGGCTCTGCCGCAGTGGCTGAGACTGCTGCTGCAGCGCAGGCCCGTTCTGGGAAGGGCCGCCGCCCCAAGGCTGGGCACGGCGGAGGGGGCGGCGGGGGTGCGGGCGGGGGTAGTGGTGGTGTCGGGTCGCCTGGTGCTGGAGCGGACGAGGGGACCCTGCCCAGTCCAGCTGAGTCGCCGCCCCTGCAGTTGCCGCACCCGCAGCAGCCGCCGCAGTCGCAGCCTTCGCAGCAGCCGCAGCAGCCGTCGCAGACGCGGCAGACGAGTGTTCTCCCGCCAGGGTGGCCCGGCGCTGGCGGTGGAAGGGCGCGTGGTGGTGTGCCGCGTGGTGGCTCTGCCGGCGGGCGTTGTCAGTACCAGATCCAGACCGGTCCTCGCCGCGGCTTCGTTTGCGGTAAGATCGGTCACTCCACTCCCCGCTGCTTTCGTCGCCTGGACGACCTCTTTCGTCAGCGTTTCGGCCCGTCGCCAGACCTCCCGGACTGGCACAGTTTGCTTAGTCGTCAGATTCAGATCTTTGATATGGACATGGATGCCATTGTTTCTGCTCTGCATGTGATGTATGCTGATGACTCTAGTGTGCTTCCGACTTATTACTCACTGTTGCCTAGTGTAGGTGTGCCTAGCTTAGCCTCCCCTGCTGCGTCAGGCGTAGGATCCCCTGCTTTGTGTAGTCTTGGTGCTTCTGCCGTCGTTCCGTCGCCAGACCCCTCGGCTTCGCTTTCCTTCACCTTGGACTCTGGCGCCTCTCGGTGTTTCTTCCGCGACTCCACCACCCTGACGCCGCTTCCTGTTCCTGCTGCCGTTTCTCTTGCTGACCCCTCCAGCGGTCCGGTAGTCGCCCGCAGTTCCACCACCCTTCCCTGTCCGGCGGTTCCTTTGGGCTCTCTTACAGGTCTGCATATCCCTTCGTTCTCCAGGAACCTAGTTGGTGTCGGCTGCCTCCAGGACCTTGGCGTCACCACTACGTTCCCTGGTCACGAGCGGTATGTTGTCTGTACCGAGGCCGCCACTGGTGCCCCCCTGTCCACGTTCCCCCGGGACCCGGTGTCTGGCCTGTTCACCCTGGACACCGTGCCCCCCCCGGCTGGAGCGCCCCCTCAGGTGGCTGTGTCTACCCAGGTTGCTGCTGCCTGCTCCTGTCGCTCCCTCACTCACCCGACCCTCCTGTGGCACCACCGTCTAGGTCACCCTGCGCTCCCGCGTCTGCGTCACATGTCCCAGCACGGTCTTGTCCTTGGTCTCCCAGGTTCACTCCCAGCGTTTCCCTCCTCCCCAGCTCCACCTTGCACGCCTTGTGTCGAGGGTCGGCTTCGCCGTGCCCCTCACTCCTCCTCGTTCTCCCCTACCGCCGCGCCGCTGCAGACCCTGCACCTGGACGTCTGGGGCCCCGCCCCCGTCCCTGGGCCGCGTCGCGAGCGCTACTTCCTTGTGCTTCTCGACGACTTCACTCGTTACACCACCGTCTTTCCCCTGGAGCGCAAGGCCGACGTGCCTGGCGCCCTCATCCCCTGGCTTGTCTCTACGCGTGTCCACCGCGGTCTCCCTGTCTTGCGTCTTCACTCAGACCATGGTGGCGAGTTTGCCTCAGGTGTCCTTGGTCGCTTTTGTCGTGCGGAGGGCATCACCCAGACGTTCACCCTACCGGACTCCCCACAGCAGAATGGGGTCGCTGAGCGACGCATCGGCTTGGTCATGGAGGTCGCTCGCACCTCCATGGTCCATGCCGGTGCACCCCATTTTCTGTGGCCGTTCGCTGTGCGCTACGCTTCTCACCAGCTTAACCTGTGGCCGCACCCTCAGCAGCCGCAGGTTTCGCCGACCCGTCTGTGGACTGGGTCTCCTGGTGACGCGTCTGCGTTCCACGTCTGGGGCTGCCTTGCTCACGTCCGTGCCTCCGGCACGGACAAGCTCACTGCCCGCACCCTTCCCTGCGTCTTCCTCGGTTTTCCCCTTGACGCGTCCGACTGGCACTTTTACCACCCGCCGTCTCACCGCTTCTTTCACTCTCGTGACGTCACCTTTGACGAGTCCGTCTCCTACTACCGCCGCTTCCCCCACCGTGGTCCCCCGGTTACCCCCCCCCCTGGTCCTGGTCACCCCTTCCCCGGTAGTCCCTGCCCCTCCTCCTCCTCCCCGTCCCGCCCCCTCTGGTGTCTCCCACGTCACCCCCTTTCCGTCCGTGGACCCGGTTGAGGAGTCTTCTGACTCTGGTGGCCCTCCGGTGCAGTCCTCACCGGCCGCCCCTCCCCAGGTGTCCCCTCCCCAGTCCCCTCCTCCGCCGCCCCTGCCGCCGCCGCCGCCGTCGCAGCCCCCGTTCGCTGACTCTGGGGGTGCTCGTCCCGGTCGCCCTGAGGGTGGTCCCTCTGGGGGTGCGGGTGTGGAGAGTGCCGGTGGTAGCCGAGGAGCAGCTTGCGGTCCAGGTGTCGCCGTTGTGCCGCCGCAGCAGCAGTCCCCGCCGGTGTCCGCCCTTCGCCTGCTCGACCTTCCGTCCCCCGACCCTGCGTCGGTTCCTCCCCGACCGTCTCCTCCTCTTCCTGTCTACGGCCCTGTTTTCCCTCCGCCGGACTCGTCCCCGGCCCGTCTCCCCCCTCGTTCCCCTCCTGTGTCCCCTCCCCTGTCTCCTGACCCGACTCCTCCGTCCCACGTCTGGTCTCACCGTCCCTCCCGTGCTCGTCCTGCCTCGCCTGTCCTGCGCTCCCACCCTATGTTGCTTCGTTCACACGCGTCTCGTCCTCCCCTTCTGCCGTCGCCTCCTCCGTCCTCCCTTGTTGTTGCGCCCCCCCCGCTATCCGACTACCTTCGTGCCGCTCGTCCTCTCGTTCCTCGGGTCCTTGCCTCTCTCGTTACCGACCCGTCTGTTCCAGTCTCGTGCCTTGACGCTCTTGTCACTGCTGTCGCTGACTTCGCCTCTACCCGCCGCCTTGACTACGCCACCGCTCTGGTCTCTGACCCTGCCTGTCCTCCGTCTGTCGGGGGTGCTCCTGCCCTTGGCAGTGACGTCCTGGAGGACCGCAAGTTCGAGCTTGCTTTCCTCTCCGAGGCTGCTCCCCATCTCTGTTCCATGCTGCTAGTCCCTGAGGGTGACCCAGACGCTTTCGACATCCCGACCCCTCGCACTTACGCTGAGGCGACTTCGGGACCCTGGGCCTCGCAGTGGATAGCTGCCGTGGAGCAGGAGATGACTTGCACTCGCCCAGATCTCGCATACCCTCTCAGCATCCTGGCTCGCTTTGTGGCCACAGGCAGACACCGACCGCAGCACTGGTCTGCTGCTAAGAGGGTTCTGCGTTATCTTGCTAGTACATCGGGCATGGGGTTAGTGCTAGGAGGACGCAGGCCAGCGGTCCTTACTGGGCACACAGACGCTTCGTGGGCAGACGACGCTGAGACACTCCGGTCTACCCAGGGCTACTGCTTCAGCCTTGGCTCAGGTGCCGTCTCGTGGAGAGCTACTCGCTCCTCGTCTGTTGCGCAGTCCAGCTGTGAGGCTGAGATCTACGCCGGTGCCATGGCGGCACAGGAGCTCCGCTGGCTGACCTTCTTGCTCACTGACTTAGGTGAGCGGCCTAGCTCTGCCCCGGTCCTGTTCGCTGACAACAGGGCCATGATCCTCCTGTGTCAGGAGCCTCGACTCGAGGGCAGAGCGAAGCACATTCAGCTGCGGTACTTCCTCCTGCGTGAGCTACAGCAGCGACGTCAGGCTCGCGTAGTACACTTGGCCTCGGGTGCCAACACGGCTGATATCTTTACGAAGGCGCTTGCGCCTAAAGATCATCAGCGGCACTGTGTACAGCTTGGTCTAGTTCCTGTAGCCTCTCACTTGCTAGGACCTTGACTTTGTACTGTCCTTTATATGTATACTCAGACTGGACTTGTGTCCTCTCCCAGTGGCTGGACTAGTAGTGCCGCCCTGCTCTTGTGCTTGCCTTGTCTGTACTCCTTCTGACCGGTCGCTCAGACCCTTGCCTCAGAGGTTGGACTAGTAGTGCCGCCCTGAGCTGCTTGTTTAGGGTATTCCCCTATGCAGTCTAGGGGGTGTGTCAAACATGTGTATTTGTCATGTTTGTATAGACTGTATAGAGTCACCTCTTAGAGGATACAAAGCTTAGATATATTTGTGTGTACTCTCACTTTACTATTATTCAATTATTCTGATAGAATTGAAGAGAGAGGGATACGAGGGGGGTTGTACCCTCTACAGTAGATTTCAGTAACACCTACGAAGTCTACCAATTATATATCAAAGATATAATTTAACAACAGGATATAGAATTATTTACTATTGACATGCTATTCAAAAGCTAAGGATTACTAAGGAGCAATGTGGAAAAACAACAAGGCGCACCCATTTACATTGCAAACTATTACTCTGCGAGGTCAACACTGCTGAGTGAGGATGCCATCTCACTACTCCAACCCAGGAAGTCATGCACCTCAACAATGCTCTACTGCTTCTTTCCACGGAGCAGGTCATTTGCTGAATCAGCAACACTGTGAAGGCCCACACACCTTACCACCCTCAGCACCTGCAAGTTGGGCAACTGCCCAAGGCGCTCAGGGAGGGAGGTAATGCTGCAGCAATCCTCAACAACAAGGCTCTTGAGTGAAGAAAGGTCGCATAGTGAGATTGGAAGAGACTGAACACCAGAGCAACGGCGAATTGTGAGTTCCTGTAGACATGGAAGCATGCCAATGCTCGCAGGGAAGCCACCCAGTAAACTGCACCTGCTGATTGTGACATGCTCAAGGGATGAAAGGCCGCCAAGTGACGATGGTAGTTCCCCAAGTGTCGGGCAGTCTGAAAATTTCAACTCCTGCAGTGTCTCCAGCTGCCCAAAAGAGTCCGGAAGATGCGAGATTTTAGCAACACTGCAGAGCTCAAACCTTTTCAGGCAGCGCAGGTGCCCAAAATCCTCAGGCAGGGAGCGAATATTGGGGCATCCAGCAATGGAGAGGTTGGTGAGGGAGGGCAGGAGGGGGAATGTGTCTGGCAGCTGTGAAAGCTCCTCACAAGCATTCAGCTCGAGCGTTTCTAGGGCTGGTAGTAAGCCAAAGTCGTCTGGGAGGGCTACTATTGAGCACTGGCTGATCTCGATTGTTCTGAGTGCATGGAGAGATCGGAGAGACGCAGGGAGGGATTGCAGGGCGTTGCAGATGGTGAGCGCAAGGTACGAGAGGGAGGTGGAGAGGGAGAGATAGCCGAGCGATGCAGGGAGGTGAGGGAGAGAGGGGAGGATGAGATCGAGAGAAGTGAGGGAGAGGAGGGAGAGGGACTCAGGGAGGAAATCCAAGCTGCTGCTGCTCACACTCAAATGGCTGAGCGATTTCAGCTGCCCGATACACTCGGGCAGGGAGTCGAGGGCATCACAGTCAACAAGTTCAAAGGAGGCGAGGTTTTTCAAGCTGCCCAGAGTTGCGGGGAGGGAATGGAGGAGGGGAGTGTGTAGGTTGATGTGAGTTAGGGAAGTGAGGAGGCCAAATGCCTGGGGAAGCTCCTGAATGTGGTCAAGGGAGAGATGGAGAGTCGTCAGCTGCTTTAGATGGAGCAAGGATGAGGTGAGAGAGGTGATCCCAGCGGCTGCACCGTGCAAACGGAGCTGCTGTAAACGCGTACACGTGGAGAAAAGGGATTCCAGGCCCTTTGAGGAAAGAAAAACGCCTCCTGCTGCTGCTGCTGCTGCTGCTGCTGCTGCTGCTGCTGCTGCTGCTGCTGCTGCTGCTGCTGCTGCTGATGCTGCTGATGCTGTGCCAGTCGACGACGATGGTGATGATGATGCCGATGGTGAGGACGAGAGCGATGATATTGATAAGGCCGATGACGGGATGGCCGAGGAGGCAGAGGTGTGAGACAAGCATGATGGCCCTCCAAGACGACCTCCAACCGTGAGGGAGAAAGACGATAGTTGCGGACATGCCTTGGCAAGACCTGCCAGGAACGCGTCGCTAATGGAATCCACGCTGCGATTGGCCAGATCGATGGACGTGAGGCTCGGCATACGCAACACTGCGTGGATCAGCTGCGCGCCGGGAATTCCCCGCTGCCGAGCCACGTAGATCGCGGACTGTGAAACGCGCGCCAGCCGGAGCCATCGCGAGCAGACAAAAGCGTGCGAGAAGAAGACGCCGTTAGATGCGAGGTGCCGGAAGATAAGAATAATCAAATCGTCGGTGAGGGCGTCCATTGGACTGGTGTTACTAGAACTCAGCACTGAATCCATGGCGGCGAAAATCTTATAATTCCTAGGCAAACCGATTGAGGCGCTGGGAAGTTGAATCGAGGCGTGTCTTAGAGAGGTCAAATGAGTACAAATACAGTTCGTTTCGTCTGGTTGAGAAAGGGCGTGTCCTAGGAGTTAATCTATTCCTCGAAACCCTACCTAACAATTCAATAATAACATTTGCCCCATCTAAATCCGAGAGCATCTCAACTAACCGCAATCAAACCTACGCTTGGGACACGCCCTAAGGCTCGTGGCTTTCTGTGAAGCTCTGAACTGCACGCTATGAACTCTCGTGACACGCCCTCATTCTCTGTTATGAAACAGCTCCCGAACAGGGTCAGGGACTCGATATTCCCATAAGAGGACACCAAGTAGGACCCTGGTATACCTTAATGAACCATTCTAGATGCTTTCTAAAGCCTCTGGAGTTCGATTCTGAATAACAGATGGAGCTTACAACACAGCACCCTACACCCAACACTGAGATAAACGCGCGCTCCGCTCAATCTTTGACTTCGCTTAACTGCACTACGCTGTCACGCGGCACTGCAGTGGTAACCAGGTTCGCCTTAATTGGACAGCCGTGCCGCTTCGGAAACGCTTGGGCTTATCAAACAGTGAAATTGATGAATTGGGAGAGAGAGAGTACACAAACATATACCTAACAGTTGTACTCTCTAGAAGATGACCCTATACAGTCTATACAAGCATGATAACTAAACATGTTTGACACACCCCCTGGACTGCATAGGGGAATGTTCTAGACAAGCAGCTCACGGTGGCACTACTAGTCCAGCCTCTGAGACAAGGGTCTAAAAGACCAGTCAGAAGGAGTACAGGCAAGGCAAGAACTAGTACAGGGCGGCACTACTAGTCCAACCACTGTAAGAGGACACAAGTCCAGTCTGAGTGTACACACAGATATATAGGACAGTACAAAGTCAAGGCCCGAGTAAGTGAGAGACTACAGGAACCAGACCAAGCTGTACACAGTGCCGCTGATGATCTTTAGGCGCAAGCGCCTTCGTAAAGATATCAGCTGTGTTGGCACCGGAGGCTAAGTGTACTACGCGAGCCTGGCGACGCTGCTGTAGCTCACGCAGGAGGAAGTACCGCAGCTGGATGTGCTTCGCTCTGCCCTCGAGTCGAGGCTCCTGACACAGGAGGATCATGGCCCTGTTGTCAGCGTACAGGACCGGGGCAGAGCTAGGCCGCTCACCTAAGTCAGTGAGCAAGAAGGTCAGCCAGCGGAGCTCCTGTGCCGCCATGGCACCGGCGTAGATCTCGGCCTCACAGCTGGACTGGGCAACAGACGAAGAGCGGGTAGCTCTCCACGAGACAGCACCTGAGCCAAGGCTAAAGCAGTAGCCCTGGGAAGACCTGAGCGTCTCGGCGTCGTCTGCCCAAGAAGCGTCTGTGTGTCCAGTAAGGACCACTGGCCTGCGTCCGCCTAGCACTAACCCCATGCCCGATGTACTTGCAAGATAACGCAAAACCCTCTTAGCTGGCAAGAAAAACATTAGAACCATATGGGCCGGCCATTCCATTTGGGATGGCTGCGGGTTTAGGGCGTGTCCAGCGCGTTCGTTTACTATTAACCTTGCATATCAGGTACAAAATATTTATCTGGTAACCGAACTTTCGTGTCCATTCGGACACCCACGATAAATTGATGGTTTTGGCGGACACCCTCCAAACGTACCCATAGACATGGGCCACACGTTTCTGAACCGAATGAAAATCGTGCGCAAATTATGTACACGACAGAAACGTCCAAATCCTGGCTGGCGAAAAATAGAAAGCTTACATTCCGCCAGGCTTTCGTGACACTTGCGAGGCACGGCGAAAATAGCGGAAGAAGAATCGGAGTTGCATGTTCGCCCTCCCGGGCGGGGCCTCTTTTCCGGGGCGAAATTCGGTTACCCTGCTGTTTTCGCGTCTCAGTCTGTTATGTGCGCTGCGCACCCGCTCATTTGTCGATCCACGGGCGGGGCTCGTGTCCGCACGTTTTGCTGCTGATACGGTGGGTGTACCTTAACACATTGACACTTGGCGAATCAATATTTCGGCGTGTTAAAAAAACGTCAAAAATTAGTGTTGGGGCAAAATGAACGCACTAGACACGCCCTTAGGGCGTGTCACATTTTTAGGAACCGCTTCCAAACCTAACATTCACCGCAATTTACCACGTTATTCTTAGAAACTTAGGACTCAAGGTTCTTAAACTTAGGAGGCTAGGTTGGCTAGGATACTAGGAAGAAGGCCACCATGGAATAGCGTGAAGAAAACGGATCTAGAAAGGGAGAGAATGTTGAGAAGAAAAAGGGGTTTGATTAGGAAGAGAGAGGAGTACAAGAAGGGGTTTGTACCCTCTACAGAAAGGTTCAGTAACAACCCACCAAGCCTATATTAAATTATAACTTATATAATTTTAACACACCCCCTAGGCTTGGTAGTGTCAAGCCCACACACACCCCCACACCCACACCCACACCCACACCCCCTAGCCCAGCACCCCCATTCCCAGCAGGAGCCGCAACGACTCCGGAAGAGGGTAGGTCTCACGGCCCCTTGAGACGGCAATGGCGACAGCAGCGACAGTGACGACGGCGACGGCGGCGGTGGTGTGCGGCGGCTCCAGGCCTGCGGCAACAGCGGCGGCGCCGGCGGCTCGAACGACAGAGGCTGGTGAGGCGGCCCCCGCCCTCTCGGCGGCATGTCCTGTCTCCTCGGCGGTGGAGAGGTCCCTCACATGGCAGTCATCGGCTGCAGCAAGAAAGGGGGGGATGCAGGGGAAGCAGGTGCAGGTGGGGGGGGGAGGGGAGGGGGCGGGGCGAGGCGAGTCTTCAGCGACGCGCCATAAATGGCGCGGCGCTTACTGGCGGGAGGACGTCGTCCTGAGGGATGCCCGTCTGTGGCGAGCGGGCGGCAGGCCCGGCGACGCCACAGACGTCGCTCGGCCGGCCGCAGCCCGACGATGCCGTCGGCTGCCGCAGACGCCGCCACAGCGCACCGTCAATGTCGCAGCGGCGAGGCGGACGGGCGACGGCTGAACCAAGGGGCCGTCGCGACACCTTGGCGCCGCGACGGTAGGCAACGAGGGACCGTCGCGACATCCTGGTGCCGCGACGGCAGGCAACAAGGGGCCGTCGCGACATCCTGGCGCCGCGACGGCAGGCAACAAGGGGCCGTCGCGAGAGCTTGGTGCCGCGACGGCAGGCAACAAGGAGCCGGTCGCGGCACGACGCGGCCAGTGGCAGCGCGACGTCGCCACTGCAGCAAAACGCGGCCGCCATGGCCGCTCGAGCGAATGAGGGTGAGGAGTAATTGGCGGAAGCGTGAGGAGGCGGTCCAGCAGGGAGGATCTCCTGCTCTGATATCATCTTAGAAACTTAGGACTCAAGGTTCTTAAACTTAGGAGGCTAGGTTGGCTAGGATACTAGGAAGAAGGCCGCCATGGAATAGCGTGAGGAAAACGGATCTAGGAAGGGAGAGAATGTTGAGAAGAAAAAGGGGTTTGATTAGGAAGAGAGAGGAGTACAAGAAGGGGTTTGTACCCTCTACAGAAAGGTTCAGTAACAACCTACCAAGCCTATATTAAATTATAACTTATATAATTTTAACAGTTATTTATACTATGAAACGCAAACATCACACTATAACGTTTTCAACCTCTCTGAATGGTCAACCCTGAGTGGTGTTCGTGAAAAAATGTAACATTCCCGTAGGGTTGATGCCATCCCGAATGGCATGCCAAGCCCCTACGGGGTTTTAGTTTTTTTTATTGCCAGCGCCCCAAATTACTGCCCGTATATACACCCAGCTCGCGGTAATCTTATACCCTGAATTTGAACGGCAAAAAGTTATGTTTCCACACTGACCATTTCTGACTGCGTAGACAGTACTCCCTTATTCTTACGGCATAAGCACGGCACACTCCGCGCTGGCCAAAGCTTTGAGCACTGCCTAAGCTGAGGTCGGGTTTCCTGACTCAAGAAACAATAAATCGAGCAGCAAACGTTTCATATAGAAATCCCAGTTAATATTTGTTTTTCAAGGGTATCCAGATCTAGTCTTCAGGAGCTGCTTTTGGGGGGTGAATACCCTCTCGGCGGCACTCCCTTTGAGAATACTGGGTCTGAAATTACCGCAAGCTAGGTGTATACCCCAGACTATTCCCCTGCCTAGGGGACGAATTCTTCTCTCGGTAAAATGTTTGAGGACGTGCAAAGAAAACCCCCCCCAAAAAAAAAAAAAAAAAAAAAAAACAGCAGAGCATTTGCGAAGGGACGAAGGCTGAACGGGTTACCACTGCTGTGCGGCATGACGGAGTGGCGCAATTAAGCTAAGTCGAAGATTGGGCGGAGAGCGCGTTTTTGGGTTGCGTAGCAACCTTATAAATTTGGTTTCATATTTCCGTGCGCCCGTTTTTTTTTTTTTTTTTTTTAATAGTTTTTTTTGTTTACCTGTTTGTTCAACTTTTTTTTTTCAATAAATCCTAATCAATAGAACTATAGTTGCTTGTTTTTTTGTTGTTTGGAACGATTATTAATTAATAAAACTATAGTTCCTTGTTACTTTGCATGTTATCTATCGTAAAATATTTTTTCCAATAGTGTGTTGCATTGGATTTCTACATGTTTTTCAAAATATGTTTTTATTATTGATTCCTTTTTATTTAATTATTTAACTAAAATGATTTATTTTCGTGTCATGCATATTTCGTCCCACTTTTTATTGTAGGCGGTTAAACAATTCTACACGAAAACAACACGACAAAAAAGAACACAAAAGAACACGGTCAACAAGCTTGTGATATGATTGGACTTTATACGAGGGCACGGTGGGCGACAACATGGGATACGAAGGTACGGAGTGTGGAGGTAGGGGTCATGAGGGCACCAAACGCACGCAATAAGGGTACGGAAAACGAGGGCACGGAGTACGGTGGCACATAGCTTGGTGGCAGATGGATTTAAAGGGCACAAGATATAGGGCCACGGAATGTGAGTGCACGGGATACGAGGGCACGAGACG